GAGTGTCCCACCTACCTACATGTATACAAGGCAGCAACTGATAGGAGGAAGAAGACTATTTGTGTTTAATTGCTTTTCACTTTTTATATTTGTTAGGCTTCAGGTGGAGAGGAGGACATTATTTTGTTGTTTGCGCTTTGGCCACGGTGTCCAACGAAAAGATGACACTATCATGTAGTAAGAGACGGATCCATAGCCCTAGTACTTGAGAGTACCCTGATGTATGTAGTGCCACTTCATCGCCTTTTGCTCCATATGCGAGATGATGAGATATAATAATAATAATAATAATAAGGGTGAACCATGCCTTCACACCTTGATCCTCTGCCTCAACTGTGTCAACAATCACCTGGCTACCTCCAAGGATTGTCCTACCTACCTATGTGCATACCAGGCAGTAACTCATAGGAGGACCAGGGCTGTTTAAGTATTATTACTTTGTATTTTCTTTATTTGTTAAGCTTTAGGCAACAAGGAGGACTTTATTTTGTTGTTTGAGCTTTGACCAGGGTGCCCAACGAAAAGAACACAATATCATGTACTAAGAGACATATCCATACCCCTGGTACTTGAAAGTACCCTGATGTATGTAGTGCCTCTTCATAGCCTCTGACTCCATATGCGAGATAATGAAGAAAAAAAAGAAAAAAAAAAGGCACATTGTGGAATCACGATCTAGTCCACATCGGCCAAAACAACTAGCACCAGATATAAACCCACTCACCACTGCTTCCAACTCAATCATAGTCTCAGGCATGGGAGAGCCACAATCATTACTCAGACCTTCTCATCAAACTCTCATTTTATGGCGTTGTTGCAACCAAACACAAGCAAAATAATAACAAACTCATAGTTGCCACCAGGCGCCATGAACGATCTTTTTGTAACTTGGACTAGGCCACGGCCATCCCTGGGTCCAGAAGGGTGTGGGATGACTGCACCAGTCACACCCAAAGAACCAGGGGTAGAATCATCCTCATAAAACAAAGAGGAAGGCCCAGGACAAACAGGGGATGAGGTCTTAGAGGAGGGAGGGGCAGGAGACAACATGTCTTACCGACTCAAATGTGCAAGGGATTACCAGGCCAGGCCACAGATATCTCTCCCAATCTATCTTTAGAGGTCAGACTAATACACCAACTTAACCCAAGTCAGGCAGAAAGATAAAAGTGTCAAGAGACAAAGAAATAATCAATGGATGAAGATTGAAGTAGGATGGAATGGCCAGTAGGGGATATCTACAGTATACACAATACCATCTTGGATCAAAGGTATAGGTGAGGAAATAAACTAGAAGAACATGTGAAGAGCTCATACTCAGAGTGCTAGTGATTCTTTATATACTCACTCTTCACCTAGCATGACTCATACCTCTTGTTACGCGAACATTGTAACTCATAACTATGAGTCATATGATATCCCTCAGCTGACTGCTATGAGTTACTGTACAACATACCTAAAACCAATCAAAACTCAATAGTCAAGGCAGGTGCGCAACTCACATCACCTCAGTGAAACCCATGACTCATAATTTAAGTCATATGCAAAAATCATTACATCTTGTGACTTATAATTGTGAGTTACGAGCAGGTAATCATAATAACCTATAGCATACTAGTATGCGTCATGTGAGATCCTACAGACCTATAGCTCAGAATCTCAAGCTATGTAAAATGTGCCTTGCTTAGTCACAGTTTGTGACATAGGTCATCTCATAGCAACTAACTATTGATCTTTTATAGCCATGATAGTTTGTTCTGAAGTTTGTTACAGGGCCTCTGGATTCCCAAAAACTGCTAGTACCTATTCTTGTTTCTTGCTCCTGCCCATTCTAGTATTTGGCTAGGAGCAGGACCTATTTTCTCCTCCATTCTTCTCCTAGTCCAGTTAGGCCCTTTCTACACTAGTTACCTTCTATATAGGAATACACTACAGCTCTTACCAAATTATATAACTGGAAGCCCAATTGGAGTCAACTGGTAGTCTCTGTATAGGAAGTAGGGTTGGGAGAAGGGAGTTTGCTAGTACCTCATAACCATAATACAGTGGAGAGAACTTATAGAAACCTGTTTTGTGCTGCCCAGCAATGAATACTAGTTTGTTTAGTAATAGTTATAGTCTTGCTCAGTATTGGTTTTTGCACAAATCGAACATATATCAACCAATTCCTAGTAATCTATCTTAGAATAGCTGAACTTCTAGTACCTGGTATACTAAGTTGTAGGCATTACATGCTACATGATATTAGTATACTTCCATTGATCCCAAAACAGAACTGGGAGTATAATCTTTTCAACATTGGCTTCTAGAATACATCCTATAAAGAAGGTTACCGTCTTAGTCTTCCACTCTCATGTATCTGTTGAAAGGAATCTGATACTTGTAGTATCTATTTTGTATATAATTTTAGAACTTCTCTTTTTCTCAGTATCTAATTCTGCATTACTGTTGAGAATGATATTGAAAGAAATACTGTGAGTCAAGATACTAATATCTGTTAGTACCTATCCAAATGCTAGGAACTTTAGCTTTTCTTTTAAAATAACCAAGTTAAATACCTCTACTATCTTCATTATATACTTTCTATTATAGTGTTACAAACTGTGACTAAGCAAGGCAAATTTTACATAGCTTGGGATTCTGAGCTATTATAGGTATGTTGGATCTCATATACCGTACACTAGTGGGCTATAGGTTATTATGTTTACCTGTTCATAACTCATAATTGTGAGTCACACGATGTTATTATTTTTGTACATGACTTAAATTATGAGTCATGGGTTTCACTGAGGTGACCCAAGTTGAGTACCTGACTTGATTATTGAGTTTTGATTGGTTTTAGGTATGTTGTACAGCAACTCATCGGACTCAGCTGAGGGAGTTATGAGTCACAAGGTTTACCTGATGAGAGGTATGAGTCATGCTGGATGGAGAGCGACTATATAAAGGGTTCCTAAGACTCTGAGTATGAGCTCTTCACACATTCTTCTAGTTTATTTTCTATACCTATTATTTTATAATATAATACCTTTATACTCTCTACTCTACTTTAAGAATCCAGAAACTATCTTTCCTGCTATAATAAAAGAATAAGTCTTAAGCAAAGACTTAAGAAGTTCAGAGAAATAGGCACGATTAGATAGAAGTCAAAGGACTTGACTATCGACATCGTATAGGCAATGGTGTAAGAACTATTACCGTGTCACTAAGTAAGAATTGTTACCTGTCGTACCCCCCCCCCTCTGCTAGGATGGATTCTTAACATATAGCTAAAGTTACTCTCAGTAAGGGTGGTGATCATGGTTATAGTATACTACCTATTTGATGAAACTTGTAGGTTAGTAGATGTAATTCAATTACATTTTATTAGAATGTCTGCTATTATTATTAAGACTTAAGCCTCACTCTTTGCTGGCTCTCTTTAGAGTTTTGCTGATGTTCTGGTTACAAAATACTTTTGTTCTGCAACTGTCGTGGTCTTTTTTACCTCAACTTCTAAGTCTTGTACTTAGAGGAGCTTTTAGTACAGGTATTTAGGTTCTGTTCCCTGTATACATTCTTCAATAGTAGTAACTTTGTAGATGTCAGCTTATTGTTACCTTCTCTTTTCTTCTTCTTAGAGGTCTGCTCTGGTAGTGGAATTGTTGTACATTTCTAATTTGTTTCATATGTAAATTCTCATTGATAATATCATATATTTCTCCACTGGGTATGATTTCTGATCAGCTATAAGACCACCAACATTACTATAGCTAGACTACGTATTATGCATATTGCATTTAATATTTTATAATATAATTGGGCATTTTACATGTATTTTCTAATCATGTATTTGGGATTGTTTCTTATATTTTATATATCTCTTATATACATTTATTAGTTATTTGCATTACAATTATGCCCTAATAATTTCCTCACAGTACCTTAGAATTACACATCTTTTATAGGATTTTGTTGATAGATTCTCAGAGTTAAACATTTTTACACTTATGTTTGTACTTTTGTTTTTCCTATTGTCTCTCTTTATTATATAACAGATGCACTCCTGTATATATAGGAGTTACCATTGACCTCACTTAGAAGAATTAAGGACAAGAACTTCTACCAATCTAGCTTCATACAAAATTCCTTCTCACTTAGCATGCCCATACTATACTCTTTGTACTATGTCATATTTTCATACACAGTTATTAAGATTGTATCATACCATACATATTTGAACAGGGATGGCCACTATCTTAGTATAGAACTTCTCAGACAGGTCTTGATATTTTAAGGTTGTCTGCTTCCCTTGGAGTCTAGTACCTCTGCTTAGCTTATACTTTTAGTCCTGTACCCGCCTCATCAGTTTCTGTGTAGTTACAGTAAGTACCTTCACCTGGCTTGCAAGGCTTAAGATCATAGTCAGCATAGTCAAATCTGCTATGGAGATGTCCTTACCTGCAAGCTAGGGCACAGTTTCCATTAGGAGGAATAGTTTTTTTCTTTGAAAAGTTTTACTCAGTTAGTAGTATCTTGGTCACAACTGTTTCCAACTGTTCAGTTGCTTGGCCCCCCTTTTGGGCCTCCATCTGGGGTGGGGGTACCAGGGGAGTTGGACCTAGTGACATCTATAGTATCCATTTCATCCTTATGTGAAATCATGGCATGGGTAGGTGGATGGGGGTGGATACAGTCATTGTATAACCTAACCTATCACATTATGTGAAAATGTATAGATGTTTTATGTAGTGATATTGAGAAAAGTAAAAAACTACTTGGGAGGAAAATAGGAGGGAAGAAGCTTGTACCGTACTGCATGGTTCATGTCCTATTCTTTTACCATAAATCTTCACTATACCTTGTATGTATAATGACCTCCCCCAATTTTTAAATAAAGCTGTGGGACCCCAGGCCGACGGACAGCAGTTACCGTCAACTCACCTTACAAATACTTGAAACATTGTCACGTGCTGTCGTGGGTTGGATAACATTTGATTGAACGGTGTGACTATCATGGTATAGGATATTGAAGCGGGTCTAGTTCATGTGAGCACACACAGAAACAGATACGCTAGTATTTTCACTATCTAGCAGAAAAGGTGGGAGCGTGAGCGGAGAAACAGAATAGAAGTAGAGGAATATGGGAGAAAATAAAATAACAAATGGGATAAAAATAATAGCAACGTTAATAAAACTGTAAGCCAACAAGGAATCTACTCTAGTCCTAAAGAACCCATTTCGTGAAATGACCAGATCCCCCTTTCCCTACACCCCACCCCCAAGTCCAAGCCAAATCCCCCACCAGGGGGACAAGAGGAGAAAGGAAAGGCGTCATAGCGTGAGAACATAATGGACATAAGGGAGGCATTTCGACTTTATTATTCAAAATAATAAGGGATTTTTTCGTCTCGACTAGTGATCCACTAGGTATCAATGGTGCTTGCCGCGCGAGTTATCCATTTGACGATGTGTACTCACAACACCCCGGACACTCTACTGTCCCCGTCTCTATTTTCGGTCAAAGAACCAGGAAGAGCGCTTTGGATGCTGGGCTTCTTGATGAGCTGCAGATCCCTGGACACTGGAAAGTGGCACTGGTGCTCCGTTGACGTCGCTAGATGCACCCCCACCACCACGGAGGGGCTTCGCAATGCGAGATCCCTGAAAGCTCAAGTTTGTTCCTCCAATCCCTCGGGTACCCACCTTGGCAGCTTCTAACCGCTCCTTCACAGCGGTAAGCTGTGACTCGAACCTGTGTCGTGAATGTAAGGTTAGTGTTTATCTTGCAAAATTGTGGACTCTAACTCTAAGGAGCACACACCTATGGTTGGCGGCAGTTAGTTTCTCTTGGGACTCTTGGAGTAGGCTTTCCAAGCTCTGTATCCGCTCATTTCTGGCATTAAGCTTGCGTTCGGCGATAGCAACTTCCTTCTTTAGCGTGCTATTCTGTTCAACTAGCTGTCGTTGAACGTGGGTTAGCTGCTCGAGGTTTCGTTCGAGGAAGGCCATCTTTTTCTGCTGCGCCCGGTTATTTGAAGATCGGAGAACGTTGTTGTATTGTTCCCGCGTCTCGTCTAGGCTGATTTCGAGCTCGACAACCTGCGGTGATTAGTGCTCGATACTGCAGGAGGAAACGTATGAAGCTTACCCGCTCACAGCGATTCTGCAAGTCACGCATGAGAGACTTCTTCATTGCGTCAAATTCGGCAATCTGTTGGGCAACAGTCTTTCCACCGGGGAGAGCACCGGCGGCGCCATTTGTGGCAGCACCAACTCTAATCCTTCGTTGCAACTCATCCACGGAAACCTTCAACTTCTCGTTCTCGTCACTCTTCTTGGAGAGCTCCTTCTTCAATTCTTGCAGCATTTGGACTTCAACATCTTGTTTGCTGAAGTACGCCTGCTCAAGCCGGCCCTTAACCTCCGCAATATCCTCATCAGAAAGATTCCTCTCTAGTAGTTCCTCAAACTCTTGCTCCAGATCCAACAGTCTTGCTTCGAGCTCTTCTCGTCGTTTCTGGGCCAAATCTTGTTCCTCAGAGCGCGAGTTGAGTGAGAGTTCCGCCTGGCGTATAATACCTTGGGTTTCTACAAGTCTAGCACGGAGGCCTCTGATATCATCCGATGTGATGTCTTGGCCGGAGGCAGAGTTGTCCTGGATTGCATCTAATTGATGTATGACCTCCCTAATCATCCGCTCATTATCCGAGAAGACCTCACCACCTAGATCGAAACCAGCCATCATCTTAGCCATCTTTTCCGCCTTTTTCTTCTCCTTTTCATTGAGTAAGGTTGATGTCTCTTTAGTTGACATCTTGACGTCAAGAAGGTGCTGCTTAATTTCGTCTAGCTCCGAGGTAAGCTCAGTGTTCGCCTCTTTGAGCCCATCCATGGTAATCTGGGCTTCCTTGCTCTCAAACGAGACTTTCTCGAGCTGCAGCTTCATCTCATTCACCTCGCTTGAGAGCTTCTCATTATCCTTGCCTGTTTTGGTGTCGTGCTCCTTCAAAAATGCAAGCTCTTCTTTTAGATCAGCTATAGATTTCTCAGACGTTGCCAATGCGGACTCCTTATCCGCAAGTTGATCTTGCAATTCATTCTCTCTCCTGAGGAATTCATCCTTCTCGTCCTTTTCTAGGACAACTGGTGTTGATGATCTCACTTCAACACGGCTTTCCGGGCGAGATGGGCTCTGCACAGCCTCGATGGCTGCCAGCTTGGACGGTGTATCCGCCCGACGGGTTCTAGCATCTACCTTAGGCATTTCAATCTTAATTGGGGACACCCACTTCTCCTTCGGAACCTGATCACCATTACGCCATATTGTAACCTCCCCCTCCAACGAAGCAATATAATCGGCATAGGTAAGGTTTTGGTTTTGGGCCTTGACGAGCAAGGACTTGAGTTCGGCCGGGGATAATTCTGCGTTGATTTTTGCCTTGTTTTTGATAGACTTCGCGCGCATACCAAACCGGAGAGTCGAGAGTGTCTCATCATCGTTGTACGATGAGGGGGAGCAATTGATGATGAGGCTTGTCCGAGAATTACCTCCCAAAGACTCTTGGAGAATACGAGTGAGTTTTGAATCTCGGTAAGGAACATGTGTAGATTTTCCATCTGTCAAGGCATTGATGACCATTCCGAGAGCTGAAAGCGACTTGTTGATTTTCTTAGCCTCCTCAAGAGTTTGGCCGGATGCACCAGTCTTCCCGACCTTTTCAGAACCGGCCAGATCGACCAAGTACAAATAGCCAGCTTTTTGTGACCCTGTCTCGACATTTTTCTGGTTGATCTGGATGACGAATATGGAGTGTGAACGTGAAGACTCTTGGTTCATATTGGTCGCGGCGACAGCACGAGCACTGCCACCCCTCCTCATAACCTCGTAGACCTCCTGAACACTTGACACATAGATCTCCAATAAGCCTTTAACATAGACACCTCGACTCTTCTCTTCATGCACAGGCAGATTGTCATTGGCGGGATTAAGCAAATCTCGGATCCGTTCCATATAAATCTCCATATATGAGACCCTAACAGTGTATTCAATGTTACCAGGGGAAGCTAGGATCGAGGCGAAAATTTGCTCCACAATTCTCGGGATGATGCCCTTGGAGGATTCATTGTCAATATCTGCGCCCATCATGGTGTAAGACTTTCCCGCACCCGTCTGACCATAAGCGAAGACCGTGCCGTTGTAACCATTGAGAATATCGTCGACCGTAGATCTGATGGAAAAGTCAAAAACATCGGCTTGTTTGGAGCCCATGTCAAACACCCGATCAAAGGTAAAAGTCCCGGCGGCCTCTTTGCTCTATAAGAGATGTAAGCTATCGAACCGCTGTAACAAGGTATTCCTCAACCGTACCGTGAGCTCGCATGTGTCCTCGGAAGGAAACGACACGATTGGCTCACCACCCTCCCTGATCTCGGTTGAGTTCTGCGGACGGAATCGAGCGACCACTGATGAATTACTTGAGTCAATAAAAGTCTTCCGGGTCTAAACAAGGAATTGCCAAGTCTACCCTTGATGGTGTTGTAGCTCCCCGTACCACCGCTCCTGTGAGTAGATAAGCAACTAGAGCCTCGAGGATTAGAAGGGATTACCATACGCCATATTTGCTTAAAATAAATTTGTTTGAAAGCAAGGAGATAGCCTCCTCGAATCGGTTTCTACCTCGCTCGTAGGGGGTACCTCCGGACTAACACGGGATGAGGTCAACTAGAACGGGGAGGAGGTTGTGAAAAGAGTGAGAGAACCTTCCTTGGGATCCTGTGTTTTCTAAAAGGCTTGTTTGGATCTGGCCGCGCGTTGGTGAGAGGGGCGTTAGACAGGGGCAGGCTAACGGTTGTTGTTCAGGCTTGTTGACGGATTTCTTGTGCGCTCCTCTTCTTGCACGATTGGTTGGTGGTGCACGTTTGAAGAAACGCTGGCTTGGGGTTGCCCTTTTAGGTCCTATATTCCTATTTGGGGTAATGGTTTCTCCCCGCTTCCTCACCTCCTAGGGTTTGCAAAAATGTTGCTCGGTAGAACGACTAAATGAAGAAATTTGGGCTTGACATAGTGGGGAGGGGATCGAGGGGTGACTTACAGTAGTGATCGGAGAAATAGCAAAAATGATTTCTGGCTTTGGATGCAAGCGCCTCTACAACGGCTAAAGTAGGCAGTTACACATCTACTACGAGCCCACTGGGGGGAAACTAAGATATAGGATTTTCGTGAAGGGATTGGTTCGCAGAACGGATCGCTCCAGCATTTGGGAAAGCAGTGTCAAGGGGCTACAAATATGCCGGTGCGGTAAGCAAAAGCAAGAGGACGAACTTAGTAATTGTAACACTATATGTTACAATTGTGTCCAGTCAGCCTAGTGTGAATGATTCACTTGGGTATCATACAAACAAAAAGCAAGGCTAGCAAAGTAAACCAGGACGTTTCACTACGGAGGAATTTATTAGGAAACAGTGGATCAAGGAAGACCCGGGATTAAATATCAAGAAAAGACAACCCCCTAGAAAGTGAATGAGGCCGACGACAAAACAAAAGCCGAAAACTAGGCGGGATAATGAGAGCTAATGGTATGGGAATTAAAGTAAGAAAGAGTCGTGCCCCCGGTAGCCCCGTCTCACGTTTTCCATGACATTTGAACTTACCATGGCGCTGACAGCAAAAACGGGAAAAGAAAAAAGAAAAAACTCAACGCCAACATGGCTAGCAACACCCAGCTTACAATGTGTATCAACACCCCTCCCAGCTCTTCTCCACCGTCTCACGAACCCTCTTCACGTATTCCCTCTTGTTATCCTTATAGAGGTTCGAAGCCTCGACGTTGGCTGGGCTGGAGGTGTTGGGGTCGTTGAGAAGACTAGATAGGGGTAAGTTAGAGCGCGCGCTGATTGAGCAATAGAAGTTGGATGCCTAGGATGACAAAGATGGGAGTGGGCGCAGCCGGGGATTTTCAGAAAATGGAACAGGGGAACTGACCTTTGAATACTAGTCAGGATAGCGGCAACGTCGTAGGTTGGACTCCATCTGTTTTGCAGGATGTCCAAACAAAGTTCGCCTGTGGCATAGACATTTGGGTGGAACATTTGACTGATGAATTTGACGGATGGAGGCTTGTTCGGGTACTGTTCCTCAAAATGCATGACGAGGCGGAAAGTGCCATCCTCAAACGGGGTATCAACAGGACCAATTATAACGGCATTCCTATGAGCAGGATGAGTATCTGTGGGTGTTGGTGAGGGAGAAGGGCGCAAAGAGTTTTGTAAGATTTGAAGCGCGAAGGGGGGAAGGCGAAGTGGGGTGGGAAAACTAACCAGGTCATGACATTATCGCTAATGGGGGATGCACTGACGCCAGCCGGTGGGTCTGTTTGCATTCTCTGGGAGTAGATTCGTTAGCATCAATCAGGCCTTGACTCGAGCTTCCATGTTTGGTCGAAAGAAATGGAGGGAATACCTTGAAATCCCTCATTAGACGACGGCGGGCAGAGGTAGACATCGCGGGAGTAGAGTGCTAGATATGATGATGGGGGATGTTCTTTGAGTACCGGTAATCAGGTATGATGGTATGACAGCGGGGAGAGTTGAGGGGAAGGCTCGTAGTAGCGGGAATGGGGAGCTCCAGGCGAAAGTGGTGGGACAAACGTGGATGAAGAGCTTATTCAGCAACGAGAGAGTTAGACGGATAAGGAAATTTGCCAAGACATGAAGAGGAGGGAGAGAAGGGTAATCGGGTATGTATGCGACGAGATTAGGGCCTGTTCGGTTGCAACCAGATATCATGATTTCCGAGGACAAGATGCCATTTTTGCCAAAAATGACATATCAAGAATAAGAACTGTGTTCGGTGACCTAAATTGGTAATTTTGAAAAACTCCATTTTACACTCAGAAGTAGCATATGAAAAAAAGAGGTTGAAGAAGAATTTTTGAACTTGTACACAGGCTGAACAATGCTATAAGCAACTAACTCTACTGATCAATTGTCCCAGCAAAAATCCTTCATCCTATTGCCTACTTTTAACCCCCAATCTATTATTACATATTGGTCAGAATGTCACAAATGCAGCTTTGGACATACGATTAAGCAAGCCCGGTTATATATCAGCTTTATCTGGTAAGGCATATATGTTGATAAGTTGATTTTACCTAAAACTCATCCCAACCGAATTCAAAATGCACTCTGCATGCCATGTATTATCTTCAGACCGCGTTGCTGTTACAACCACAGTGAAAGAAAAAACCACACCAAATTTTTGGCTGAGCCACCACCTCATTGGTCCACAACCAATTCTCACTGCTTTCCCAACTCTTTTGACAGACTTTTTATCCATAAATCATCCTCTATCCTTTGTGCTCCATCACCTCTTATCAACTGAGGTCCTATTCCTTCACCTCTGATATCTTCTAGATGCAGGAGCAGAGGTAAGGGGGCTGCAAACCCTCTTACTCCCTGTTTCCAAGCCTACATCTCTACACAATCTACATCCCCTGATGGTACACAGATGGAAGAGGGGAATCCTTCCCCTATTGACACTGTGCAACCCTCCCAGCCACCTGCAGAGGAAGAGGACAATGCTGATCTTTCTCCTAAAGACTTAGGTCCATTTGTTGAAGCATTGCATTTGGACCACAATACCATGATCACGAAATACACCAATCTTAAGACTACCTTTCAGAACATAGAACAACATATGCTCGTTATTAAACAGTGCCATATCAAAGACACCAAAGACTTGTAAGGTATAGTCAATACCCTCACCTCCCAAGTTATATGACTTGAGTCCCAACTTCTCCTACAATAACTACTAGCAGTTGTCTAACACCAATCCACTCTCCCCCTACCTACTAACCTACAAACCTGAGCCCAGAAAGCTGCCAAAGTACTCTGAGTCAGACCCCCTACCACTTTACTAAGCAAAAAATATCTATCTCCCTTCTTTACCAAACACAAACCATATGATTGTTATTGAGAGAGATGGTATAGTACTACCAGACAACACCAATCACCTAACTATTCATGACACGGTCAATACACCAATCAAGAAACAACTTATATCAACTATTGAGTTCACGCTCAACTACTATATCCTCCTAATTACTAAGGAGAATACTCCTACATCTACTGTCCTCAAGAACCTCTGCTTTATTATTGAGGAAGTAATCAGATCCACCATTCCTGCTACTACTGGCCTCAGAAAAGATGAAGTTTGATAAAAGATCATCATTCACAGTATCCCTACCAGCTCTACCTTCCCCACTCTTCAAGCTAAGATTGAGGTATTCAATCCTGAAACCCACCTCCCCCGCACCTCCAGATGGCTTACTACAAAAGTCTAACGCTAGGACAAAGTAGCTTCCACTATGGTTCTTGCCATTGCTGGTACCCTTTCTACAGAAAAAGCCCTCAGCAGAGGCCTCTCACTCTTTGGCAGAAAGTTCAAGGTGCAACGCCACTTGTTCTTTGATCCTACCACCTAGGACTCCAGATACTTGGAATTCAGTCACCACTCTACCCAATGCACCAAAATATCCCACTACACTATCTTTTTCCAGAAACACCGAGCCCATCTCCATATATGCAGACATTCTGATTGCCCCACCAGGAGTAAAGCCAGTCTCTAGACTACCATCAAGTGCCTCAACTGTAGCAACGATTACCTGGTAAATTTTAAGGATTGCCCCACTTACCTTCATGCACACCAGGCAGATACTAATAGGAGAAATATGACTGCTTAGGTTTCATTACCTTTGTTTCCTGTATTTGTTAGGCTGTAGGTGGAGTGGAGGATTTCCTAGTTATTATTTGTGTTTTGGCTGGGGTGGCCAATGAAAAGATAATACTATTATGTAGTAAGAGACAGATCCAAAGTCCTGGTACTTGAGAGTACCCATATGGATATTGTGCTGCTTCATACCCTTTGGCTCCATAAGTGAGATTTTTTTTTAATTCATTTGTTTAATAATTATGACTCAAAAGCATACATGGACCTTGCTATATAGTATACAAAAGGTCTTAATTCCAAATGCATAAACAGTAAATAAATAAATACACAGTCTGAAAACCAAATAAGTTGTATGTAACCTCTTATCCTATGGCCAGGTCTCCACTATCCTTCCTCATGCTAGGTACAAGGTTTGCCTGGTGTACTTGCATTCAGGGTCAAGATAATCCCTCACATCGCAGAGGATAACTGACAAAACAACATGAAAAAAACAACCCTCCAACGGCCACAACAACAGAACTTAGGGCCATACATAAAAAGAAAAATCCCATAGGCCCAGCCACTTGGAGGAAGTAATATAGTGCATGCATCCGCCAATCCGTAAGTGAAAAGGCACTACTGAAAGCACCGCGTGGAAGGGGCCACATACTCAGCAGTAGTGTAACAAGTATGCCAGGCCCAAAGGTGTGTGACCCACAGAAGAATTAGAGCCAGGGGAGGAGGCCACCGATGTGGCTAGACAGAGGGAGTGTCAGCCCAACAGTGAGGACGTTAGCCTGAAGAGTTTATCTACTAAAGGACAGGACCAGGAGGATGAAGTGAAGTGGCCTGAAGGGGCTGGAAAGAACACAGGGAGAAGAGCTGCTCCAATGTTTTGTAAGGA